ACGAACCATGAGCAATAAAACAGGAAACCCTCAGAGTCAGCGGCGCCGAAAACCCAACCGACTGCTTCATGTGACCCACGTTCAGATGTCTGAAGCTCGTGGTGCTGAACTGGTTTGGGTGCTTTTCCTCTGCTGGAAAATAAAGTACATTTATTGTGTTTTTCAGACATTTGGTAAAAGCTGCAGACAGGTTAAAGCTGCATGTAGAGAATCAGTCCAGCATCATGTGGTGGGTTCGATGAGGACCTGATGGAACGGAGCAGCCTCGGTTTGTAACGAGATCATTAAAACATGTTCAGTTGTCTTCACACAATGATGATCCTAAAAAATGTTTGTTTTAAACCAAATTATAAAGAAATATTTGATTAAAGGGTGTAACAGTGCAACACAGTGTTATAGACGGCTTCCTGCCTTTGATGTCCAGCACTATGCAAAAAATATCAAGGTTTCAGTCCGTAGATTAATTTCTTTGTTAATCAGTTGATCTTCTAAATGTCTACAATCGTCCAGAATCCAAGCTGACTGCTGATTGATCTGCTTGTTTTGTCCAACCGTCCATTCAAAAGCCCACAAATGTTCAGGTAGCTGTCAGGCACCAGCTCCTGTTCAGCGTCTTTTATTCCAATAACACACAATGAAACGTCCACACCGAGTCCTGAACCCTGTACATGGGGGACCAGGTCTGACCCGGTCTCACCCTCTGTCCAGACCAGATGCACAAATGACTGGTGAAGGAAGAAGTCAACGTTATTTGTCTTTAGGGTGTCACTTCCTCACATGTGTAGAAAAAACTCTAAAGTTGTGCTTCAGCAATTAAAGCAAAACACAACTGATTGTGTTTCATCATCAAGGACAAGACGAACTGAGAGGATGTTTGTGTGAACATCAGGCCGAGCTGCTCAGAGATGCTCTGCGTCTGCAGTCCTGCTCGCATTGATGCCTTTTGGTAGAAAGAAAATCAATGTTCTCCTGAACGCAGTTAAAAAATAGTCTCCAAAAAAAACCAAACCCGAAAGCGACGGACGAGCAGAGAAGAAAAAATCTGAAAACGTCTTTGTTGCTTTAGTAAAATAATCAATGAGGGAAAAGTAAAAGTATTGTTCGCAAAAACAAACGCTGGAAAGTAAAGCGTTGACATTTTTACAATACCCAGTCGCCTGATTCCAGCACGGCGACTAAAAAGGCAGCCGGCACATTTCTACAAAGTGCAAAATTAGATGCTTGGCTGTCTGTAGGCTCTCATTAGAGCGTGTGTGTGTTCTTCGCTGTGTTTATTTAGCAGCTCTGTGTGGGTGTGTGCTCTGTTTATGTGCTCACGTGTGCGACTTCTTCTCTCGCTGTATCCTTACATATATGCAGTGTGTGCTGGGGGAAGGATGCCTGCTTTAGCGTGTTGGTGCGCCCGCCTAAATGCTCCCCAGTGCTGCGAGTGTGTGTGTGTGTGTGTGTGTGTGTGTGTGTGTGCAGTAGCAGTGCAGCACTGACAGAGCTGTCTGAAGGCTGGCAGGCTGCAGATTTGTAGCGCATTCGGCTGATCATCTTATCTCCTGTCACCGCCAGTGAAAGATTGGAGGAACCGAGCCCACCGCCACACACACACACACACACACACACACACACACACACAAACACACACACACATGCACACATGCACACACATGCACACATGCACACATGCACACACTCACACACACACTCATATCTCCTTTTTTCTTGTTGCTTCTCCCTCTCTCTTCCCCTCTCTCCCATCTCCATCCTCTCTCTCTCCCTCACTCCCTCTCTCTCTCTTTCTCCCTCTCTCTCCCTCTCTCTCCCTCCCCCCCCCCCTCCCCCTCCATCCTCCCTCTCAGTAAATGGTGCTGAGCCAAAGACTAATTATTACAGGCAATCATTTCGACATGAAATACCTACTTCCTCCTCGCCGCCCTCCTCTCTCCCTCTCCCTCGCTGTCTCCCCCTCTCCCCTCATTTCCTCCCCCCCACACCCTCCAACTTCTTTTATGCTCCTACAGTCACATAATGACAACACACACACTCGCTCAGTAATTCCATTCCTTGAAGTCCATTTTGTGGGGAATGGTTATTGCTTTCTGAGTGCGACCTTGGGGTCTTTCTTGTAAGCACAAGAAGTGTCCATCTGCACACCCTCTCAGCGTGTCGGTGTGTGTGTGTGTGTGTTTGTGTACACACATTTGTTGTGCAACCTTGTAATGCCATTGTGCGGTTTCTGGAGTGCCGTGCCAAAAAACCGAGGACTGATTTTACGGGTATAGAGACGCAGATTTGTTCCTGTCTTTAGCGGGTTTAATGGACGGCTGACTGCTGCTCATTTGCTAGAAGAACGTCTGATGAGCCGCGGTGGTTCTGAGGACGTGACATTTGGGCCGTGAGCGGTCATTTTCCAGCACCTTAAAGAAATGCCCTTTTGTGCGGCGGGTTCTCTGGATGTGACGGCGTGGGGAGGCATCTGTTCAACCGCTGCTACGGCAACCGCTGAGTCTGTTTATTGAAGAATTGATCTCCAGGAAAACGTGTTTCTGTCATTTTACAGCTTCATGAAGGGAAAGAACACGGATACGGGGAATCACACGACCACACGTCTGATGATCGATTCATTGATTATCAGTGATTTTTTGAAACAATCTCTGGTTTCAAGTTTTTAAACTGGATTTGATGCTTTTTTTAAGCTTTGCATGAACTGAAGCTTTCTAGGAATCAACCAACCATCAGCTGGTCTGATTATCGGTGCCCTTAACTTCTATAAAAACTGATATCTGATAGAATAAATGCCCTGCTTTGGCCCCTGTCTCTTCCTGTAGTCACGACTCCGTTCTGATTGGTTCTGCGTTACAGTTCATAGACACTGAAGACTAAATGTTGAAACAGCTTTTTTTTTTAAAACTAAACATGCAAAACGTAAATGATGGAAGGCGTTTCATGGAAGTTCTGTGTCGGAGTTATGAAGCTGACTTTGGTCACGGAGCCCATTTCTTGCAGAGCAAACACGTTCCTTTTGACATTTCAAGGACGTTGCTCTGATAACACTTTGGTGTTTTTCCTCCAAGCAGGGCTTTTACTAGTAATGGACTAAAGACGTAATTTTCTCAACAGATCTGAATATTTGATTATTATTGTGGTGTGATATTCACGTTCACAGCAACGTTGCACAGCCTGCATCAGCTCCAGATCGTCCTCATTGATCACTAATAATCAGCCCTGAAACAACAGGCTTCTGCTTTAAACGCTAAAGAATTCAAACGATGATGAACTTTTCCTGAAATCATCTGTAGTTACAGGTGCAGCTCGGCCCACGTTTATGTCGTGACGAACACGCCGGCGAACGTGCACGGACACGTGCACGGACACGCACACACGGCGGCGTTGGTCCTCGGCCCAGCTGTGAGTGGCTTCTGCCAAGAGGCAATTCCACTGTAATAAAATCTATAGGGTGGGGAGGGAGGGAGGGAGGGAGGGTTTAATCCTCACCACCCTCCTCCTCCTCCTCCTCCTCCTCCTCCTTCCTCCCTCACTCTTCGTCCTCCCCTCCCCTCCTCTCGTCCCTCCTCCTCCTCCTCCTCCTCCTCCTCTACTGGCTGGCAATGATAAATGAGTCAATTATGTGTGTGTGTGCACGCGGCGCTGGAGAAAGCCAGCGGATGGGGCGGTTATTACCTGTTGCGGCTGGGGGTAATGTTGCGGTATTAATCATATTCTAATTTTCCCTCCACCAAACGACCCCCTCCACCCAACCTCCAGCGTCCCACCTCGACGCAGCCCCCACAATCAATCTATCCGCCGCCTGCAAACAAGTTGGCGTAAAACTGCCGAAGGCCTCCAAAAAAAAATAAAAAAGCAGAAAACAGCGGTGCAGGGACGGGGAGTCGGAGTGGTTCTGACTGCAGAGGTAACATGGGAGGTGCTGCTGCGCTCGGACCCATTTAGAAACGGAGTGTGCATGTTTGCAAATCCAGCTACTGACATTATCCAATTTTAGCAGACACCGGGGGGACGGGTCTGGGTCGGCAGAATATAGGACACCTCGGAGAGCCGCTTGGCTGCTGGATGCTGGTACCAAAGAGACTGAACGGTGGCGCAGCGGGTAGCACTGGTGCCTCACAAATGGTGAATGGACCTTAGCAGCACTCAAAGCGCTTCACAATGTGTTTCTCATTCACACACCAGTGGCCACAGTGCTGCCATGTGAGGCTGCCACTGGGAGCAACTTCAGGTTCAGTGTCTTGCCCAAGGGCACTGCGACTGTGGAGGGGATCGAACCGCCGACCTTACAATCAGAGGACAACCGCTCTACCACCTGGGCCACAGCCACAGCTAGAAGGGTTCGGTTCTAGGCCTGTGAGGAGAACTGTGGGTTCTGCTCTGGTGTGAATGTGCTTGTTTGTTGGGCTCAGCTGGGAAAGGCTCCATAGAGCCGTGGGTAGAACATGGATATAAAACGAACCAAGGCCAGGTTGGTCTCGACTGCAGCGTCCTGAGACGCTCGCTGAGCAACAGGTCTCGTCCTGAACATGAGAAGGAGGAAACAAAGTGCAGGTTAGGGTTATGACCCAGTTACAGCTTCAGCGTTAGCGAGCTGAGCAAAGTGAAGGTGAAGCTGATCTGTGATTTTGGGAAAAGCAGCAAAATGAGTGAGGAGTGGAAGGCACATGGATGTATCGGAAAAACGTCCAGAGAGAGAAAGAGAAGAAAAAACGAGGGGGAAAGACACCTTGGATGTGCCTGCCTGCAGTCTTGGCTGGATTTCAGGCCCCGAGCGTGACTTGGTCTATTTCTGCTCTGCTCTGAGGTGATAATGGGCTGTCAGCACCCCAGTCACCCTGCTCCCTCCTCCCCAGTGAGTGATGGGGGAGGCGGGGGAGGCGGGAGGGCGAGGACCGGAGCCGGGAGTGATTCCATGTCATGTTGCTAATTGCATTGTGTATTTTACGAGCGCGATACAAATCAAACGTGTCTTAATATTTTATTTTTCCTCCGTGTTGCAGTTTGAAGCTGGAGTGTGAGAAGCTGGCCACAGAGAAGACGGAGATCCAGAGACACTACGTGATGGTGAGACACACACACACACACACACACACACACACACACACACACACACACAGTCTCTCCACATTCGCTCACAACACGTACACACACACACACACAGAGTCTCTCCACATTCGCTCACAACACGTGCAGCGTGCCAAGTCCCCTGAATCCCTTTCATCTGCTAACAGCTGCCAAACAACACCCACCGAAACGCCGCACAGCCGACCGACCACACAGCAGCGCCGCCACGTTCAAGGACTGCAGCACGAATCCAAACTTCAGCAGTTTAGCCAGAAAAAAAAAAAAGTTTGTCAGGGCCAACAAACAATTAAAATTCAAGTTGTTTTCCCCTTTTTTAAAGTTTAGTTTTTTTTTTAAAATTAAAAATACAGTTTGTAATTCTGAAGGTGAGCAGCGTGTTGGTGTTGAAGATCCCAATCGACTGCTGCAGTCCGGTGCAGCGCGTCAGCTTCATATCAGGGTTTACGTTCTGGTTTTACTTTTATATTCAGCTTTTTGTTTGATGTCTGAATGTCCTGTGGTTCTGTGTTTTAATATTTGCTGATCTGCAGAGCTCACACTGACAACAGAGAGACTTCCTGATCCTTTAACTGAAGCATCTTTAATGTGAACTTCTGCTGCTTTGCTTCATCTCTTATAAACAATCTGCAGCTCAGTTTGTCGTCTGAGACTCTGAAAATTGTGTTTTTTTAATATTAGGGGCATTTTATTGATCAAATAATTCACTGTTTTATTAGTTTAGTCCTCTTTGATGCACGTTGTGACTTTAAATAAAGCTGATGATTATATTTTATTAAACTGGCATTAGTTGTAGTTCAGTAAATCACTGCTCTGTTTGTCTGATGCTCCTGTTTGTTCTGTTATCGCTGCTTCATTTGTCCACTTCATGCTCTTGTTGGATCAACTAAACACAGCTCAATGAGGTTTATCCACATTAACTTAACAAGAAATATGACAGCAGCTGGTTTAAGTTAAATATACTGCATTCATTTGGTTTCTCTCAGATTTTAGCTTCACGTTGCTGCGCCTCAGGTGTATGCCGGGTTTAGCCGGTGTTTGTGCTGCAGCTGGTGAACACGAGGAAACGTAGACGTCAGACGCACAGCGCTGAAGGAGCAGCAAACCTAAAGTCTGAACTTCTACCTGAACTAGAGTCTTGGTTTAAAGTTTAGCTTCCTGTTGACAGAATCCACAACCTGCCGTCACCTAAACAGACCAATGAGGTTCATTCTGACGGAGCTTTGCTGCTTCATACGGTTTTTACAGTGTTCGTCTGAATCCATCACATCCAGCTGAGCAAGTCATCAACAGAACCGTGTGACCGTGGTTTAAATCCAGCAATGATTTCTGAAGATCTGAGCAGAAGAAAGACGAGCTTCTCCTGCCGTGGTGCTGGGAGGCAGAGCTGATACCTGAAGGACTCGTCATCAGCACATCTTTGTCTTTTTTTGGATAAAAGAAAAAGCCAAAACTCTTCCCTTTTGTTGTGGGTTTTTTTTTGAGTCTGAGAACCTCCAGCCCTAGTTTACCTGTGATCAGAGCCATAAACAACCACAGCTGACAGAGAGTGGGCTGCCCACAGCCTGCTGTGCCAAAAAAGAGCTATGCGGCAATCTTGGCATGGAGCGGGGACTTGTGGGGGGATTGAAGTTTTAGTGATGGGGAGGAAGGGGTAGCTGGCATCGAGCGCAGGCCAGGTCTCCTTTGCTGGCTGATGATTTTGGGGAGTTTGGATGTTGCTAAGCAACAGGCGAAACTTGGCAAAGCGACTGCCAAGCAGAGCTGCCAGCTGCCAGGAAAGGCGTCTTTTATGGAGGCTTACAGGCAAACACACACAGAAAGAGGAGCGTGCACACACATGCCTGGAGAACACACACACACACACACTCGCGGGGAGACGTGCACGGCGAGCGCACGGATACGCACGCCTACACAGTTGCAGGCTTGTGCTATAAACACACACACACACCTGCACGCACACACACACACACATATGCGTGCTAACTGCCAGGAGAGATGTCTGGAGAGAGAGGACCCCTGCCATCTCCTCCCCGTCCTGCCAGCCTGTTCTGGCTGCCCAACTGCCAATCTCCTCTCCCCACAACCAGCCACGCTGAAAAGCAAATGTCAGCCTGTCACTTTTCGAGGCATCTGACTTTAAAATGTTCTCCTTTTTGTCCATCTCCGAGGCAGGAGAGAGGATCCTCACCTGTCTCCCTCCCTCTCTCTGCGGCTTTCCTGGCTGTACTTTGGGATAAAAGCCGGGGTCAAATAGCTCACATTAGACATGATTAATGCAATAGTCCGTCACCTTCTTCTGCCCGGCGACAATTTCTCTGCCTCGCTTTGGGTTTCTGGCTTCCCAAACACGCCTCAGGGTCATTTTTAGTGCCACTGACTTTCAGCGGAGTCAAGGTGAAATTAGCGGCGATGTGCTTTTAGGGACGATCAGCGTGCACGTGCTCAGTGGAGCGAGTCGGGAGTCTTGGGTTGACGTGACGGGATCGCTGCGTTCTGTGAACGTTACACAGAAGTTCTCATCTTGAACAAACTGTGTTTTTTCCTCCTCCTTTAGGAAGGTGTTGCTGTCTGTGTGTCTGAGAGGATTAGGCTGCCGTCGCTCCAAAGTTCTGTTGTTGTCGGTGAATCCCATGAAAATGCAAAAATGAACAAAACGTGTGCCTGCTGCTGGCCTGTCTGCAGCACAGCGGTGTGTTTTAGGGACTGTTTGAGATTAATGGAGCTTCAGTGAGATGTTGTTTCGTCCTTCATGTCTGTACGTCTGTGTGTTGGATTCATGGATGGTTTTGGGTTTTTCATGGGAGCTGCTGGCAGGAAGACGAACGTACAGACGCCATAAAAAATAAAAGTGTTTTAACTGCTTTGAACAATTCACTGTTGTTTTTCAGATTTTTCTTGTTTTGTCAAATTACAGAAAATAAGCAGTAAAACCAAAGAAAATCCCATTAATTTGCATTTTAACCATAAGAACTTAGTAAAAAATAAAGTAAAATAAAATTACTATTTCGCTTTATTTAGTTCAGAAAAAATATTATTTTCTGCAGGAAGAAATTTAAAGGAAATAATGAGGATTGAATGAAGAGTAAAGGTTTTTAAATAGTCGTTTTATAGTTTGTTTGTTTTTTTTTAATACAAATAAAACTATAAAACTCACAGAGACACGGTGTTAATACTGATTATATTATTACTCGTTAACCATTAAAAACAGGCCAAATCAGTAAATATTATCCATAAAAACAATCTGCAGTTTTACAGATAATTTGTTCTTTTAAACATTTGACTGTAGGTTGATGCTGTAGATTGTTTTTGCTGCATTTAAATCATCAAATATATTTATGTTTTACAGATATTTACTCACATGTGTGTTCTGAAAGAAAATATATTATTATTAAGAATTGTTTAAACTGTTTTGTTCTGTTTACACTCTGATTTTAAAGAACTTTAGTTAAATTTCAGGTAATATTTAGGAAAATAAAAAACAAACATTGACTGAAACTGTCCACAAACTAAATCAGTATTTTTACTGATAGTATTTGGTTCCTTTGCAGTAGTGGGACTATAAAACCACACAGGCTTACTTTATTTAAACAGCTATAATATATATAATTACTATTATTTCACAGTGTTTGCTGTTATTCCTGCTGCACTTCTTCTTGCTCCAGATGTTCTTTCTACCAGTTGTGTTTTACTCTGTTCAGTGTAACCAGACTTGGACTGAAGCTTTTTGCTCATGTCTGCATTTTAAACTGGACTGGATGCCATCGTTCCTCCGTAGATCCATAGGAAGCCTTCCTGCATTATGTATAAAGCGCCTCCAGCCTCGCCCACTCCTCACGTGAGCGCTCGTGTTTTACAGCCTGCCGTTCCTCCTCATGTTCCACACTAACTGATCTTCTCCTTTTGTTTCAGTATTATGAAATGTCCTACGGCCTTAACATTGAAATGCACAAACAGGTGAGTCAGCTTTAATCTCACTGCCTCCTAAAGCTTTGCATTGTTCTCCTGCGTTACCATCATCATCATCCTCATCTGTTGCCCCCAGTCAGCTCCACTCTGACTAACTCGTATTTTCAGGAAAGTCTTTTTTTCTCCTCCTCTTTATGTCTCCATACGGCTGTTACGTCAGCCTCCCTCCCTCCCTCTGATGGACTGTTATGCTGTGGAGGCGTTAATAGGATCCACAAACAGAATTCATTTCTTCACCACAGACAGATGAGAATGCTCTGCCCTTCCCTCTCGCCCATAATAAATCCCTGTCTGTTACTCCCTACTTTCCATCCCTCTCACTCCTGCTTCTCCTTCATCCTCCTTTTACCTTTTTTTTTCTCTCCCTCCTCTTTTCCCTTCAATTGATGTCTCACTGTCTTTTTTTTAAATGCTCTTCTCTCTTAATCTCCATTTCTTCACCGTCCCTGTCTCTGTCTTTCTTCTTTCCCATTGATTTCTCTTTCTCCCTCTTTATCTCCTTTTCTTTTTTCTCCCTCTCTCTCTTTGTGTGCTCCTCCCTCCCTCCACCTCCCTCCACCTCCCTCCACCTCTGCCTCCTTGCAGACATACAGTCCATGCTGAATTTCACTTTAAATCAGGTCACTGCCTTCCTGCCATCTACTCTCTATCTTCCTCCCTCGCTCCCTCGCTCTCTCTCTCTCCGTTCGTTCATTTCGCCATCTCAATCGCTTCGCTTTTGACGTGCCGCCGCCACTCCACCTTCCCTCCCCTCGCCGCCGCCGCCACCGCCACCTCCCAATCTCGATTTCTTTTTTCTTCTTCTTCTCCTCTTCCTCCCCCGCCTTCCTTCTGTTTCTTCTTCTATTCCTCTCCTCCCTCCCACATCCTTTCGTCCATTGGCTTGTCATTTCCTCAACCCAATCTGCCCTCTTCCTCCTCCACCTCCTCTCCTTCCTCCGCCTCCTCTTTTCATTTCCCCTCTCCCATTTTGTCCTCCCCCTCTTTATCCTCTTTCTCTCGATTGCTCATGTTCTCTCCCTCCCTCCCTCCCCACTCTCTCCTCTCTCTCTCTCCTGAAGATGTCATTTAGTAGTTGGAGTTCTCTAACAAGAAATCATTGTGTCTCCCTTGGGGTGGAGGAGGGTGGAGGGGGGG